GACATACCAGTAACAGGTGATATCAGTGTGTGTGTTTTTTTTAAACTAACAAGCTTGTTATCCTGAACTCAAAAGCTGTGGCATAGAATATATTCTGATATGTTAGGCTGAAAGTTTTCCTTTCAGCAAATGGAAGGTAAATAAATAGTGTTCTGTCTCCTCAGAAATAGAATTGATTGCCAGAGGTTAGCACTATAATAGCAAGTCACAAAAAAATGCTATATAGGGTGCTTGGAGAGAGAATGAGATTGATTTTTTTTTCTTTTGAACCATGAACAGTAACCTGTTCCATTAATCCTAGTATCAATGCAAAAAAAAAAAAAAAGGTAAACATTCTTACCTTTTAGTCTTAGTGACTTGGGGCAACTGGTTTGCAATGAAGACATGACTTCTTTCTTGTGAACATACACATAGCAATGAAGCCTTAAAGCATTCACAGCTCCAACTGTCAGTTCAATGGCATAATAACAGATAATTTGGCCTTAAATTATACCTTTCCTTTTGTTGAAACCCACTTTTCTGAGCTCCCAGGTCTCAAATAAGTGTATCCTTAGATATATGCATGTGAATTATGTCAAGTCTGACAGAGGCCTGATTCCCATTGTATAATACATTTATACTAGCCCAGAATCTGTTTTCTTGTGTCAGAAGAGTTGTGTGCTTTTTTCACAAATTGTAAGGAAGAACACCCCAGCTAATAACTTTTAAAATTTTGTGTAAGCATTCTCAGGTGCAACCTGGGGCCATGTTGGAGCCTTCACATCACCAGTTTGTGGCATGCAAACTGGTTACAAAAATATTCAGTGAAGAAAGCCAATGCCTCTCTAAATGATTGTTTCTACTATCATATTGCTCTTACTGTTAGGAAGAGTTTTCCTAAGATTTTAAAAAGAATTACAGAGTGGACCAAATGAGCAAAGAGAATACCACACCCCCACTAAAACTGGTAGAGCAAGCTACTGTATATAAACAGGGAGCAAACTCCACACTTACTAGTACTGGTGATGTTGTCTAATTGGGTAATGAAACATCTGCAAGCAAACAACCAAGCTCAGAGAGCACCAAGGACTCCACAGAGCAAATGAACGGACTCTGCCACCCTGCCCCATGATCTCCCAAACATACAATTTGTGCCTGGGACAGTTAATCTTGGTCTAGAAAAATAACTGGGACTGAAACAAATAATGTTTTCACACAGAGAGGGAGAATCCCTCATGCTTGGGAAAGGAAAGAGAAGGTTGAAATGTGCTATGGCAATAACAGATGGGAGCTGTGGCTAGATTGGGAGTAGACATACAAAATGGATGGCAAACCAAGTGGGATTTAGACAGTGTTAGCTGCTGAAAATCTGTGAATTTAGAATGGACTAAAGACCACTGAAGAGGGTTCCTGACTGAAGGGGGAAAACTCCAAAGCTGGAAGAGGATCACACTTCAAGGAAGCAGTCTACTCTGCACAGAATTCCTGAGGGAGAGGAGGATCTCAAGATCAATGTGCTGCTAGATGTAAAAGATTGCCAGCTAAGTTTATCTGAATCCCTTGATTAATTCTAAAGGGAATTTAATATAGCTACCCATAGCAATAACTTAGGCATGCTGATTTCAAAAGAAGAATCTCTTTGTAGACAGGGAAATAGTTAATCACTGAACAGCAGAGCAGTGAGAGTCATAAAGTGATTTGCTGCTTTTAATACATTATTTTTTATGGCAAGCCAGGAAATGAAAAGAGGATCTGTAATTCTGGTTTTTCGTTTGCTTTAACTGCATGCCAGTTACAGAACTATCTAGCTGTAAAAGGAAACCTCTCAAAAAAAACCTTTTTTGTTTTGCAATGCTATAAATAAAGAAAAAATTGAACTGGTTCACAAGATAGTTCTTGTGCACTGGGACCTTAACTGTTCTGCACTTTAGGTTGATGGAAAAGTCATAATTTTTATGTGTGACACCTTTTCAGTTGGTTCAAAAGTAGTTTCATATCTTCCTCAGTCTTTCCTTTTCAAGTCTAAATATGTATGTTGACTCATAGCCTATAAGTTTCAAAGAATATAGTGTGAAGTCAACATTTCCTCACTGATGAAACTGTAAGTGTTCAATTGGAGTTGCTGAGGGCATGTTTTAACACCTATACACTCATGCCATATTTGACCAGAAATGGTACATCAGTAATTTCCCATTTCAGTAAGCTTGAAGAAAGCTGAGTGTGTTGTCAGCTTCCTGTTTGGAGGTCATTATTTAAAATATGGCAGAAAATAAGAACTCTCAGATTGATATGGAGGATTTCACCATTTGGCTCTACTGGCTCTGAAAGTTATGCGGGCTTCTCTGCTAAATAGTGACTTTAGTGACTTGCTTCCTGGAATCTGGCCACTGTTGAATCAAAGTAGGGAAGACAAACTTTCCTAAGGATTAGGATAGTTTTCCAGGTTTATCTTTCAACCACAGTTTAGAAAGCACAGTGGCTGGGTTCATACATCATACTATGTCATGAGGTGGTTTGTTCGATTTTTTGCTTTGTCATTGTGAACTTAATCACTGTGCTTTGTAAATCCTGGGTTATACTTTAGCAGTATATGTGAATCACACCACTGTAGTGTATTCAACAAACCATTACTTAAAATCATGAATGAATATTAAGTGTAAACTTTTTACTGCTTGGGAATAAGAAATAAGACTTAAGCACGTGGGACAAATGTGCAAAGAGTTGGTGTAGTCCAGAAAATTCACAGCATTGAGCCCAAACTGTCTACTTTTCCATAATAAAAGCCTGTAATCTCATCCTCCCCAAAGTGAGAGTAGCCCTGACCCTACTGGCCTTCCAAAGATGTCTCAAGATGTGGCTTTTCCAACAGGCCTGGGGATCCCTTGGGAACAGAGAGCCTATGAGATGGCTCTCTTATGTCTAAGTTTTTAAGCACACTGCTGTGTTATATGGATGTTTTTTGTTTTTATGGTTATTTTAAGATGTCTTTTTATTGTTCTGCTTTTTATTGTACACCACCCAGAGTCACATTCATGAGATGGGCAGCTATATAAATTTGATAAATAAAGTTGTACATAGTGTTATATAAAATTATCATCAGCAATAAAAACAAAAGCAGCAAGTGATCATTCATCCAACTTTCTTTCTTCTCCCTCACCTCTTTAAATTTTACCTTCCTCAAGAGATTTCATAATTTTTAGATTTTATTTAATTTTAGATTTTAGAATTTTTAGATTTCAGAAAACTAAAATACAATCCTGTGGCAAGTGGTAGCATCTAAATAAACTCAGGCTTTAAAATTGTCACTCCATGTGCAGTAAAAATAAACTCACAGTTTATCTTCTTATATACATAATTCCTTCATGCTAAGCTGCTTAACCTGTGTATAAAAAACAGAATGCCACCAAATAGTCACCATTCATTATTTCTGACTTTTTAACCAAAGCACAGAGAATTTATTTGGAGCACTGGTTCTAGCGTAAAACTTTTTTTTTAATCTTTAATTGAATAGAGAAAATGAGCAAAGTGATTAATGTGTAGTTAAAAAGTGTTTCTAAAACAAGCAATAATTGATTAATTTTGTATTCACTTGTAATTTCATTGTAAACTCATGTAAAAGAACTTTCTTTGTTACTGATTTAAAAATATCTTTGACTTTATCAAACATTTTTGATAAGTGTCCTAATTCAATAGCTTTGTTCAAATACAATCAATTTTATATCTGTAAGTCAACTGCATAGAGCCATTGTTACAAGTGACCTGCCACATTTATAATTCCAAATCAGTATTATACATATATATATATATACATATATGTGCATGTACATATGTACATATACATACTGAAACTGTGCTCCTTGTGCAGTTCTGCAAATGTCAGTCCTGGTGTCATAAAGCTGTCTTTCTCCCTCTCTCTTGCTTTAAGGGTAGGCAATCTTTTTCAGTCTGAAAGCTGCTTTTGCAGGGTCAGGGTGGATAGACAGATATGTGACATCTGCAACAGGCATGGTTATGGTGCAAAGTGAGTAAAAGTGAGAAGTGATACATATGGACACGCTGCACTGTTTCAAATATGCTGGTGTTCAAAAATGTATTGTAATGCTTTAAACTTTTCCTGAAATTTAATATTGGTGCCATATTAATATTATAGCTTCATTACATACCATTCTGGAGAAATAGATTTCAGATGCACTAGGGGCATGCGCAGATACTGGGTTTTGCAGTCAGAACAAAACATTTTGAATTGGCTATGTTCCAAATGAACAAAATTTGAAAGAGCTTGAGAATTCCAGGCATAGGAAACAATAGGAACTCAAAATAAATCCCATGCCTTCTCATTGTCCATTACAAGGCCACAAGAGTAGGTGGGAGGGCAGTCCATGTGGAGTACTACCTGCCACCCAACATGCTGAAAAATTGGCCTAAAAGTTTTTTAGAAAAACATTTTTGAAGAGATTCTTTAAAATCCCCATAGGAAACTAAGTAATTGGTTCCTATGGGGATTTTAAAAACTCTAATTACAAAATAAAGTAGTTTGCAGTAGGCAACTAATGTTTTCCATTATCATATATCATGTGGTAGTCAATAACATTTTAGCCAGCCTATGTAATGAGTATATTGACGATTTTATAAGATTGCCCATTGGTTTTCAGTTGCACAGCTATACCTGTATTTTTGTATGTTTGCTAAAACACTTCTACAGATTTGAAGTGGGGCAGACAATGTGGGTTAATTCATAAAACAAGATTTCACACATTTTTATTAATATATAAAGAACGCTTGACATATGCTGCAGTCGAGAATAATTACTATTACTTAAGCAGATTTCTACATTTATCTACGATGGCTGAGTTACTTGTTTGTCATCCTGTGTACTAGAGCTTAATATTTTTAAAAATCTAAGTGAATTGATTTGTGAATCATGAAATGAATGTCCAGTTCAGTATGTTTACCTTGTCCCAACTGATACTCTTTCATCTACTTTAAGCCTGGATGATAATTTTGTTTCTCTCTCATTTCAGTTGTTCGAGTTCATGAACTTTTTGGCTGAGAATGTAATCTTCTGCTATATGGGACTAGCACTGTTTACATTCCAAAATCATATTTTCAATGCTCTATTTATATTTGGAGCATTTGTATCCTTTGTTCAAGTAACAACAAATACATAATACAGCAAACATATGGCATAATGTATTTATTTTTATGATGTACAGATAAATTGCATAATTGGAGATATAAACCAGAATCCAGAGATCTCTTTATGCATGCAGAAAATAATATTTCTTTTTTTTTTCTGTGCAAGAATAGCCAATTCCCCCTCATACAATTGCTAGGAACTAAAGATATACTCTTGGCTTTACTCCTGACATCAGGCATATTGCATGTCCCATGTCCAGAGACTACTTTTGAACACATGGTCATAGAATAAACTGATATATGAACAACTGCTTAAACACAGACATCTCTAGGTTAAAAACATCAGTGATGTGCCTGTGCTGTTGCAATGGTATGGATTTTTATTATTATTATTATTGATTTTGTCCCATCAAGTCATTGTTGACTCTTAGTGACCACATAGATTTTCTCCATGACAATTTGTATCTAACCTGGTCTTTCAGGTCTTCCGATGGTGCACTCATCACCACTGAAAGTGAGTTCATCCACCTTGGTGCTGGTCGTCCTCTTCTTCTCTTTCCTTCCACCCTTCCCAGCATTAGAGCCTTCTCCAGAGAGCTGGGTCTTCACATAATGTGTCTGAAGTAGGATAATTTGAGCCTGGTCATTTGTGCCTCAAGTGAGAACTCTGGGTTGATTTGTTCAATGATCCATTTGTTTGTTTTCTAGGCTGTCCACAGTATTCTCAGGAGTCTTCTCCAAACCAAAGTTCAGAAGCATCAATACTGTCCCTGTTCTGCTTCTTCAAAGTCCAACTTTTGCTTTCATAGAGTGTCACAGGGAATACCAAGGCTTGCACTATTCTGATCTTTGTAGGTATAGACACATCACTGCATCTGAATATCTTTTTCAAAACCTTCATGGCTGCTCTACAAAGTGCTAGTCTGCAGCCTAAATGAACTGCATGTTCCTTTACTGTTGATGGTTGATTCTAAAGGGCAGAAGCTATGTGCTACTTTGATATCTTCATTGTCAAATCAAAGGCTGGTTCTTCTACCTGTTGTCATTAGTTTGGTCTTCTTTATATTTAATTTTAGTCCCATTTTTTCACTTTGCTCCTTAATTTTTATTACTAGAACTTGCAGATCCTTTGCATTTTCAGCTATCAGGGTACTGTCATCAACATAGCACAGATCATTGATATTTCTTCCTCTAGTTTTAAAATGCCATCTTCTTCCAATCCAGCTTCCCTTAATATGTATTCAGTATATAGGTTGAATAAATAAGGGGAAAGTATACAGCCTTGTTTCACTCCTTTGCCAATTGGAGCCAGTCTGTTTTGCCATATTCTGTCCATACTGTGGCTTCCTGATCTGTATATAAGTTTCTCATGAGGACAATTAGATGTTTTGGGATTCCCATTTTTCTGAGCATATTCCACAGCTTGATGTGATCAACACAATCAAAGCCCTTTCTGTAATCAGTGAAGCACATAGTGACTTCTTTTTGATATTCTTTGGTTTTCTCAATTATCCAGCATGCATCAGCAATAATGTCTCATGTTTCTTGGCCTTTTCCAAAACCAGATTGAACATCTGGCATCTCTTTTTCCATGTAGGGCTCTAATCTGTGTTGGATGATCCTCAACATTATTTTGATAGCATGTGAAATTAAAGATATTGTATGATAGTTTGCACACGATGTCTCCTCTTTTTTTATTGAAATGTAGATTGACCTCTTCCAATCTGTTGGCCACTGTGTCATTCTCCATATTTGCTGGCATAGCTTAGTTAGAATCTTTACTGATTCTTCTTATTTTTATTATTATTAGATTTTTTATTCCACCTTTTTATATATAACTCAAGGCAGCAAACATACCTAATACTCCTATCTCCTATTTTCCTCACAACAACAACCCTATGAGGTGGGTTGGGCTGAGAGAAAATGACTGGCCCAAAGTCACCCAACTGGCTTTCATGCCTAAGGGAGGCCTAGAAATCACAGTCTTCTGGTTTCTAGGCCAGCACCTTAACTACTACACCAAACTGGTTCTCCTTTTCTTCTTCTTCTTCTTCTTCTCCTTCTCCTTCTCCTGTCTTGGTTTTCGTCTAAAGGGCCCTTGTTTTATCTGGAAAAAAACTTTTAAAGCTACTTTAGCATCAGATGCACAAAAGAGTAATGAGAATGCCAACTCAATTTTCTGAGTCTACAGAAATAATCAAAAGTGTGGGGGCAGACATTGAAGTGGAGAATATCAGGAAGAGACAGTATAAATCTTGAGGAAATAAGACTTTAAAATGTTCCAAAATACATTTAAGCTTTCTGAATTACTGTTTGAAGAAATAATATTGTTGGCATCTGAACAATTTCTAGTGAGAATTTCTAAGAGAGATATAGGAACAAAGCATGGGCTTGACAAAGATGGAATATGAATTCAGAGTGATTAAAATTGGGAGTTGGGATGCAGTGTTCAAGAAATTATTTTTAAAAAGTTTAAAAGAGTAAAATGCTCAGAGAAAGGACAGACTGTGAGTAGCAATGAGAATATTGTGTTTTTCCTATTCCACTGCCATCTAAACTCATGATTATGCTTCTGATTTAAATAATATATTTGATTAATCTTGGCCTTGTATCATAGAGTCTTTCCTTATTTTCCTCAGCTTCTTATCCCAAATGATGTAGGTGGCAGTTTTCATAGCAAGAGCCTGTAACATATATCCAATTTCTTTCATTCTCAACCTGGGCCGAAAACAAAAAATCCCAAAGAACTTTCAACATATGATGATGTTCTCAGGTAAGCTGACTGTTTCTACCATCATACAAAAGAAGAAGAAAAAACACTACTAGTTAGTACTAAATGTTTTATTCCTTGTAGTTTTTAGACTTGTAATTTTTTAAAAGGAACACAAAAAATAAACAGAAATATTATCACTGTATCCCTTGATTAAAAGAAGAACATGACACTTATATTTTTCTTGTAAGAAAAGGGGATAAATACAGTATGTTTTACTAGTAACTAAAAGAGAGCTGCTCTGTGATCTATGGTATTCACTGGGAAGGTTTATTATCATTTCAGAAAGGCTTCCCTCTATCCTCTAATGATGATGTGCAATAATGATTTTAATCATTTTAATTACCAAGGTGCAGCATGCCTATTATAAAAGTTTATGAAATGGACTTAAAAGTGGCAGCTCAGCTGGGAAATGAAATTCAGATGGTATAACCATATGGTTGTTTCATCTCTATTCTCTTGAGAACAGGCTTACTCATTTTGGAGAGTCTCTCTCTCATGTTGAAATAATGTCAGGTATCCACTAGCCTTGATGAAATAGTAGCCAGCTTAAGATTTCCTAGGCTATAACATGCTTTTAAATGATGCAAAAGTAAGCATGCATCTTTTTTACTCAGTACACATTATGTAATCTGCATGCCTGTTATAATTATATATTATGCATGTATGTTATATAACTGCCTAATATGTGTAATTTGTCAACCTTAGATTGTTTTCTCACTTGTAATTAATGTCTTACAGCATCAACCCATTTCTTTAAAATGATATAAAGCCTATCTTCATTACTGTTATTTCTTTCTTTCCTTAACAAACATACAATATTTGTAAGCTGTCACAATCAAAAATTACTCTCTTTAGCTCACATAGAAAATACAATATAAAATGACCCCCTATAGAAATAAAAAGACAATATATTAGTGCAGTGATGGTTGGATAGCTCTGTAAGACACTTGTGAAGAAATGGCATTAAAAAGAGCAGATTTAGATAGGGACCTCAGCGTGGAGCAACGATAACACGCATTTCTTTGGAATTGCATTGGAATGCTTTGCCTGACAGCTAAAGACATTCTCATTTCTTCAGGCTTTCTCAAATATTTATATTGCTTTGGCTTATGAGGCTGATTCTATGACTAATGGCCTATTTAAAAGGTCCCAGGCCCATCCAAAGCATAGTATAAGTCTGTATTTGAAATTATCAGATGGCTGAATACTTTACATGTTTTTGTTTAAATCAGAAAAATGAATCACTTGAAAGATCGTCCAGTTATTTCAATATTTCAGATTTCCCACATGTTCTGATTATTGTGCTACTGACTTCAATGGAGAATAGGAAAAAATATTACGCGCAGCAACATGCAGCAAGATGAAAGTTGGGTAGTGGAATGTTCAAATTTTCTTCCTCTGAGACTCTCAGAGATTTTAAAAAGCTACCACTACTGCTTTCAGCTTTTGCTTTGCTCTCATACTCCTATTCTTCGAGCAATGAAAACTTTTCCTTGGCATGAGGCAACAGAAGCATGTGTTCACCTCTTTGTTTTTGTGACATATGGTTTATATATGGGATTGCAGCAGTAGCACTGCGACAGATATTGCTTCTCCACTAGGTTGACAGGGGGAGAGAGAAATCATCTATCTTTAAAATGTTAAATTCCAGTATCAACATTTCCACTGACTATCCCTCACTTACATCTAATTACATTTTCAGTAAATGAATGAGAATACTCACAAGAGGATGGGGGAGGAGGTCATGGAAAAGATGTACCCTCAGATATTTGTTGGTTATTAAGAAGCCCATAAAAATGCTGGTCTATTATAATAGGATCTGCCAGATTAAGCTTTTTACACTTGTCTTGTTCTCCCATTAACCCTAAATCTTTTACAAAATCACAAGCATGTTGAAGAAGACAAGTCCCATCACAATATATAATAATATGAGAATCTATATTTTCTTTATAAGTCAAGCTAAGCTCTTGTTTAGAGGAGTAAATTAAAAAATACTCATAAGCTCAAGACCCGAGATGGGCCTTTGGAAGCAGAAAATATTGCAGTCCAACTTGGGGGGTTCTATCATAGCTTATTTTTGTGAGAAGAGTCCCCCAAAGAGGTGATTTGTATCTAACGAAGTAATGGAAGGAGCCTTATGGTTCAAGACCCACATTCAGAGCATGCTCTTAGGAGATCTGGGATGAAAGATGACTGGTAAAATGGTTACAGCCAAATAGTTATGTGTAGTTAATGTACAGTGTATTAAATTAGTTTTAGATAATCATTAATTATAAGTAAGGGCAGCTGAATTACATAAAGATGGATGGATGGATGGATGGATGGATGGATGGATGGATGGATGGATGGATTTGGGAAAGATATTATAATGTATGAAAGTTTGTACTATAATAAATAATAATGTTTAAAGTACCAAGGTTCTTTGTTATTTTTGCAGTAGCAGACCAAGACACTCATTTTTCTGGAAGTTTTAGTGAACTTTGATCTTTATCATAGAATCATAGTGTAGGAAGGGCAGTTCAACTTCTGCCTTAATGTGGGGATACCCATTAAAGCTTCTCGGGGTGATGGCTTCCAGAGAGACACACATACAGAGGGAGGGAGGGGGGGAGAGAGGGAGGGAGGGGAGGATTTTATGGCCTCTGGATATTTGCTGAAAAGCAACTAAACTATGATTTTATTCTCTTTGTTTTCCAAAAGAGTCACATAAATTTTGTGTCAAATAACATAAAATATGTAAGAGATATAAGAACAACTGCTGGTTCTTAAAGCAGTTAAAGTTGACAATTTTCTTCATTATTTATTCATTTTATATAGGTACATTCTGAACAAAATATCTGTAATCAATATATAATTAGATAAGGCCTCGCTGGGGCTATTGGTCATGGCTGAGTTTGTTTCTGAAGGAGGTTTCTAAACTATAATAAAATAGTATGATTATATGAGGACAATGAGACAAAATTTAACCCACTCTGGAAAGCAAGAGAATCAATGGCACTGCTAGTGAAACAAGAAAATACTTTGTAGATGTAAGTATTGCAAAATCGTCTTTACCTTTCCCATTTCAGCAGCAATGAAGGAGAAAGAAGGTGGGTGGAAACTGCAGGGGGGAAGCATCAAAGACCTTAATGAGATTGTGCAATTAACGGTATATTTAGATAACCATTTTTGACAGGGAAGGCACACTGTGACTCAGCTTATGAACCTGGTTCTATGTAATAAGAAGATGGATTTTACTGTTTCTCCTGGAAAACAATATTCTCCATGATGTGATTATATGCTACAATGTTAAACAGATTTATTTGGAAGCATGCCTCTTTAGCCCCCTCAAGTCTTACGCTGCCTCATCATAATGCAGGGGGGTGGAGTGTATTCCTAGGTGAAATGAATGAAGAACACCAGGAGTGTACGCCAAGAGTATGTATTCTCAGCTGAAAGCTCTAATAATGAAAGTCAAGGATCACAGTGAAAAAATGGGACTAAGATTAAATAGAAAAGAGATCAGACTAATCACAACAGGTACAGCAACTAGCCTTAGATGTACAGTTAAGACAATGAAGTGGTGGTTAGCTTCTGCCTTTAGGATCGACTATCAACCGTCAAGAAATTCACCACAGATTGACACTTGGTAGGGCAGTCATGAAGGTCTTGGAAAGATATTCAGATGCAATGATGTGTCTATACCTACAAAGATCAGAATAGTGCAAACAATGTTATTCCCTGTGACACTCTACGGAAGCAAAAGTTGGACTTTGAAGAAGCAGGATAGGAAGAGTATTGACACGTTTGAACTTCGTGTTGGAGAAGAGTCTTGAGAATACCATGGATAGCCAAGAAAAGAAACAATGTATCGTAGAGCAAATAAATCCATGGTTCTCACTTGAGGCACAAATGTCAGGCTCAGATTATCATATTTTGGAGACATTAGGGGAAGACCCAACCTGATGAAGTGTTATTACAGCACCAACAAGTGGATTTACAAAAAACTAATTTTCATAGCACCATGGTGCAACTAACAGAGCATCTGAAACAAGGGTTGCATAGCCAGACATAGCACAGCAGCTGGCAGCCCAGCCAATATATCTGCATTTTTATGGGAGTTTGCCAGAGAAATTCAGAGATGCCCAGGATCAGTTCCTCACCTTCTTGTCTTAGTATGAATTGTTTATGGTGGGTCAACCAGCAGAATTTCCTCCAGATCACACCAAGGTGACTTTTTGTTCTGTGTTGGCTGTGCCTATCACTGAAAGCAATGATCCAGTCCTGGACAATTACCAGAATTTCATGCAAAGGTTTCAAGTGGCGTTTGACAATACAGCCAGAATAGCAACTGCAAACTGAGAGATCTCAAAGCTAAAGCAGGGTAACTGTAAAGAGTGTGCACATATATCAGACTTTCCATTCTTTGCCAGAGATATGGTGTGGAAAGATTTGACCTGTTTTCAGAAGCACTGGGTGATGAACTGAGAGATGAGTTAGTAAAGTAAGGCACCCCAGAAAACTTGAAAAAGCTGTTCCAAAGTTAATAAGTGGGTATGCGAAAGGTTCCAACATGGAGGAAATAGCATGAAATGAAAGGAAATTTATAGACTCTCTTCACCCCAGGTCCACCTCCCATTATCTTCCTTAGATTCCAGCATTGGAGAACCCATGCAAATAGGAGCAATAAAGAGACTCCTGTACTCAGCAACAAAACAGAGAAGGAGATACCTTGGTTTATGTTTCTACTGTGGAGCCCTCAGACATCTAGCCAAATCTTGGATTGTTAAAGCTCAAACCTCTGAATCAGCTGCTAACTGCTATACCTGTGGAACTGTGGGCCATGTAACAAAAGTGCCCAAATTGCTCCAAAGTCAGGTATTTGGGGAACTTCACAGGCCCCCTCTCAAGAACTTGGCAGGAGGCCCTCAAACAATTAAGGAGAAGTCAACTGACAACAGGCAACTTAATTTTATTATTCCAGTTATTCTTCATTTAAACTCAACTCTTATAAACGAGGGCCACAGCCAATTTTATAGATGAGACTACAGTGCAAAAATTTAATTTACTCATTCAGATACTAGAAAAGCCTATGCTCATAGAAACAATTGACAAGTAAGGCTTCAGGCTGGTCTTGTGTTCCAACACACTACATCTTTACAACTGACAATACAGGATGACACAGAATTCTTACCTCTCTCTATTACTACTTCCTTTCATGTTCTCATTGTGCTGAACAATGATTGGCTGCAATGCATAATCTGGATGTGCACTTGGAGCAAGGAACTGTTTCTTCCCCATCGCCAAAATGTCAACAGCACTAAGGGCAAGCTTTCTACTTTCATTCTTCATACTCTGCTGCTCAGCTTGCTGCACTGGCTATCTTGTTGGAAAAATACTGGGACTTTACCTGTGTGTTTGGGGAAAAGGAAGCAACTGCATTGCTTCTTCATTGGGTGTATAACTGTACTATCAATTTGAAGCCAGGAGCCCAAATCCCAGGTAGGAAGCAATATCCCATGTCTACTCAAGAGCTGGCCACCTTAAAGAAATTTCTAGATGAGATTTGAAGAAAGAATTTATTTGTCCTTCAAAATCTCCAGCATCTGCACTTCCATTTTTCATTCTCCAAACAGTTTATTCTATGAGGACTGTGAATAACTATAGGTTCCTAAATGAAGTGACTATTAAAGACCACTATCCATTACTTCTTATACCAGAAGGCATTGGTTTTTACACAGTTGCACTTGAGAGGCATTTACAATTTGATCAGAATGAAAGAGAGCCGCAAATACTTAACTGCATTCAATACAGGTATGGCAAATTTTAACATGCAGCAATAAATTTAGTTTGGTGACTTGTGGGGCAGTCTTCTCCAGATTCATGAATGAAATATTTTCTGACATTTTGGATTAGTCTGTAATAATTTACTTGGATACATTGCTGATCTTTCTGGAAGACTCTTCTTTGCACAAGACACATATGAGACATATGTGAGTCCTCAAACACAAGTATGGTGGATGGAAATGTAGATGGTATGAGAACTCCTGCCTTGGGCAGGTAGTTGGACTAGAAGACATCCAAGGTCCCTTCCCACCCTATGATTCTACAAACTTTTTGCTAAGTTGGAGTAATGTGTGTTTGATTTTCCCCATTTGGAGCATTTGGGTTATCAGATCTCTACAGAAGGAATACAAATTAATCCTGCAAAAGTACAATCCATATTCTCATGGCAAACGTCTACAGATATGGAGAATGTACAGTGTTTTCTAGGCTTTGCTAATTTCTATAAAAAGTTAATTCCTAATTTTGCAGACCACGTAAGACTGCAGTATCAACCATTAAAGAAAGGGCATAAGTTCCTGCCATGTGTGTTTTATACCAGGTTGCTTCTACCAGCTGAACAGGACTATGATATTTTCAATAAAGCAAAGGAGGCACTTCCTAGAAGGGACAGAAGAGTAGTACAGATCACAAGAATTTGAAAAATCTGGTTAAAAAAACATCCCCAACCTCTCATACCTTGACAAAGCGGGGGGGGGGGGGGGGATTTCCCAGCTTCATCTACTTCTGTGTTGTAGGACATGCTAGATGAACCTGGGGAGCTACCAGAGGAAAGTCAGTCCATCAGGGAACCTGCAAGATTTGTCTAGTGATCTGGAACAGCTGTCATTTGAGGGTCGGGGAGTAATTCTGTAATTTGTTCTCATAACACTGTTCCGCTATTTTCTTTCTGCATGAGAGGTGAAACTGAGTCTAGCAAGGGAGGTGGTGTACGCAGAGATGGCTTTGGAGGAGATATGCAGAGACTGTTAGCAAAACCTAAGCTCAGACCATTACCAAAAGATTATCTGTCTGGGAAAATAAACAATGTAAGAAAGAAATTTAAAGCTGCCCCACCTTGAGTCTTTTTGATATATGAGGGAGGGAAGAGGAAAAGTCAGGCTTTCATGATTCTATTATTATAGCCTAAAGTAAAGTACAGTTCTAGTATTTCTTGTGGTACCTGTTTCCTGACCTGGCCTACCTTGAAGTGCTGACACTTATGTCCTGATCTGGCAGAAGTCTTTCTACATTCTTATGTACATGATGGGGATGGAGTTGTATGGATTCTATGATTCTAAAACTCAGTTGAAATCCTTGTTAAAACAATCTTCCTTTAATAAACAAATGTTCACAACTGGGGAAATTTTAAATGTTTGGATAAGGGCACATAATAAAAGGTTGATTTTAAGCTATAATATGAAGATGCTTTTGCAATCTTGTAACTAAGCTAAAGGTATACACTACTGCAGTCAAAATAAATAAAATAGAAAGAAAAATGTTGGGAATAGAGTCTGATCCATGAATCAACCATACAATAAGTAAGCTAAGTGTGAGCCAACAATATGGCATTATTTACAAAAGGAACACCTCATGGGTTTGTAATATATAAAAGGAATAGCTGTATTTTACACATGGAACAGGTCTTTTATGACCTGTTATGACCTGCTACGTTGTTTTCTGGAAAGAAATATATGAAGCAAATTGTTATTTCAATGTAACAAGAAGTCTTATAAATTAAACCAGTAATTCAAGCAAGACACTGATGTAACTTTATAGATATTTAGGACTTAAAAGGGGAGAAAAAAGCTCCCATCATTCCACCATGGAAGATAAGACCTAATAGTTTATTTTTTTCTTTAACCAATAAAATGAGCTGCATCTAAAAATCTAAGGTAGCTGTTGAATATGCACAATTCTAAGATGAATGCCCATTCAGAAGAGGAAATAAAATGACTGTATTCAAATAAATGTCAAAGCACTATCAGGATACCTACCATGTAATATTAATTCAAATTAAAATCTTCCTATAGAAAGATATTTATAAACCTGTTTTTGTAAACATGCTGTGTTATTTCAGGTATATGCAGTGCACTCATTCTTGGGCTTTATAGTCACAAGAACATTTTAGAAAAACTTTGCCTTCAGTTCTCTCTGCATGTGCTTTTGCTATGCTGCAAAGCAGAACCATTGGAAGTAACATTGCAGTCATCAAACTGTTTTATTTATTTATTTAATGATTTAGGATGAGTTGGCTCCAGTCTTTCTACATTCTTATGTGCTAAGGCATTCATCTGATGGATGGATGGAGTTGTATGGATTCTATGATTCTAAAACTCAATTGAAATCCTTGTTAAAACAATCTGCCTTTAATGCCTACATGCCCATTCAGGACTTTCATCCCTTTTTTTCCCCTGGGATATTGCCATTTATGGCAGTTGTTTCATTTTTACTCTTTGACCTGCAGCAAGCTAGATTACCTTAATTCATAATTTCTGTCATATCTTTCAGCCCTTTCATTTATAATTAACCAATACTTCCACAGGTGTTTACCAACTCCAGTCAGGGTTGTTACCTGAATTAAGCAACATTCACTTCCAACTAATAATTTATGATATTACACGAGATCACTTCATTATATTTACTACAGATTTTTTTTTTTTTGGGTGTTTACAACAAGCCTCCCTTTTAATAAAAGCAGCAGAAAGCTTGAGTTGTGGAATAGTTGTGGACTACTAATGAAACTGTATGTTATTTATTTATTAACTGTGTGTCATTTATTTATTAAACATATTTCTATGCTGGCACAATCAAAAGTCTCTAGGCAGCTTCGATGCAAGTTAAAATATCCACGGTACAAAATAAAAACACATAGCAATGAAACAGTAAAATCATACAACATAAAAATGAAGATGGCAACATGAAATCAGAGGAAGGCTCTCTGAAATGGCTCAGTCTTCAAAAGTTTCCAAAAAAGCACCAAAGAAGGAGCTAGCTGGATCTCCACAGGAAGGCTACTCTACAGCAGCAAGGCTGCCACAGAAGAGCAGTGCCTCCTTGATTCACCTCTCAAAAGTGTGGTCCTGCAGGTATCTGGGGGCCAAGCCATGAAGGGATTTATAGAGCAAAACTAACACCTTAAAGCAGTGTTGTCCAAACTTGGCCACTTTAAGATGAATGGACTTAAACCCCCAAAATTCCCCAGCCAGCCATGAAGTTGAAGTCCACTCACCTTAAAGTGGCCAAGTTTGGACAACACTGCCTTAAAGGGTACCCATAAATTAATTAGCAACCAAAACAGGGTCTGCAAAACTGGTGTTATATATGCTCCTGATGCCAGGAGGCAGAAAGTATGCAGCCGCCTCCATTTTGGACCAGGTGCTGTTTGTGAATACTCTTTAAAGACAGCCCCAAGTAGAATGCACTGAAGTAGTCCATGCTTTATCTTGGTCTTTCTCTGTATTTTTCCATCCAAGCCTTATTTTCTCACCTTTATCTCCCATCCCTCATTTGGTTTCTAAGCCATCTCTCTCTTGTGCCATAATTTCATTCCAAAATAAATATACCATATTTTTCCGACAATAAGAAGCCCCCATGTACAAGACGACCCTCACTTTTCCAACCCAAAAT